AACAATTGGCAAATCAAATAAATAAAATAAATAAAAAATAAATAAACCATCATTAACCTAGGGCTACAGATCAGACAGGTCTGTTTTCTCTCAAAGTATTCACATAATCATGATCATAGGTTCACCGTGGATTACCAAAAGTCAATGATGGAATCAAGTCCCTGTGCAAATAGTTACATTTTCTTCAATCTTTCCTGATATTATTTTCAGTGGCTGTATCATGTTTTGGCTATATTTACCACTGAATAACATTCTGATTTATCAATTCAAGCAAATTAGTACTATTTCCTGGCATAAAGGTGATATTTCCAACTGGAAATTGGGCAGTTTTGTAAAAAAAAAAAAAAAAATCTGTGTTCTTATTCTGGATTCCTTTTAAGATGTTGATTTTTAGCTTGGCATGACTTCACTAAATAACTTCACCCTGAGTATCTAAGAGACAGTCTGCCTCACTATGAAACAAAAGATAGTCTTTGGTTAGTGATGGTGACTGAGACAGGGATTTCTGTCACTAAGTGATGCAGATATAACACCCAACATCACATGGTGCTAGTTTCCCAGCACCATCATTTGAACGTGATAGGAAAGAGAGGATGAGAATTACCATCATACAAATCCTAACCCCTCCAAAGTTAAATATTCTCAAAAACATTCTCAACGATCCACCTCATACTGGGAACCCTTTCTTGAACTATTACCACCTGGCAGATGGTACAGAATAATAAAAACAAGGACAAATAGGCTGAAAAACAGCTTCTATCCCAGAGCAGTAGCTCTTTTCAATTCTGCTATATAGTGCAGTGTTGGTGTGGTGTCAGGGATTTTCGGTTCAATGTGTGAAGGGTGAAGGATGTGTGTTTGTGTTTATTTTCATGGTCATGGTCATGATGTGCATTGAAGATGATGTTTGATTTTGTTGTACGAGGTGCAATGACAATAAAATAAACTAACGCCCCCAAAGTTAAATATCCCTAGGATATTGAAGAATTCCAAAGACAATGAAAATGAGGAAGAAGCTCAAATACAGTAACACAGCAATTTTGTAGACAGGACATTCTATCAGTGGTCAAGGAGTCTCAAGCTTTTATCCTGTACAAGGCCAAACTATAATAGTTTCAGATTAATCAGTAGCATCTAGTACCATGATGGTGAACCTATGGCACGCGTGCCAGAAGTGGCATGCAGAGCCATCTTTGCCGGCACGTGAGCTGTCACCCAGAACAGGTCCACTGCGCAGGCACGCACGCCGCCCACCCGCCAGCTGATAATCGGGTAACTGCCACGTATGTGCGGGAGCAGGGCATATGCAGGATACACATTCCGTGCGCACGTGTAGGGGATTGCACGTGCATGTGCAGAAACGCATGGCCTGCATGGGTCACACACAAATGCACATGGGAGCGTGCATGCATTTCCTTATGGATGCTGGCACGCATGCATGCACACTTTTGGCACACAAAGATGGAAAGGTTAGCCATCACTGATCTAGTAGATCTGAGTTTACATTATCATTTGCTTGTTGATATGACTGAGGCCAGCCAATGATTGTTTAATTCTAGGGAAATTATTTTATTTGCCTTTTTTATACACAATGACAAATCTGTTCAGTGAATATTGTAATTATATATAAGTGGCATGTAGAATATTGCATCTAGTTCTAGGTGCCATACTTTGGAAAGAAGATTGACAACCAAGGTGACATGGGACATAGAAGGAGAAATCGGTAAGAAATGGTCAGAGGTGCTAAGTAAGTTTAAACCCAAAGAGAAGATTGGACATGTTTTATTTTTTCAAGAATCAGGACTATAATGTAGATGAAGTAAAACAGTATAGGGCACAGAACAAAAAAACATTGGATTTAAAGGAATTGATTTCAATTAGATAATGGGGAAATGCCTGAATAGAACCACTGAGCAGAATGCCAGTAGAACAGTAGAACTGATGATGAATGATAAAGAGTTATTTAAATAAAGATTTCTGTCTGTTGGAGATAATGTAATAGATGGATGATGGAATGAAGATTCCTATTCTGAGGCAAAAGATTAGACTAGATCAGGGCTGTTAAACTCCCGGGCCGCGGACCAGATGTGTCACCCACTGGCCATGCCCACCTGGTTTTGTGAAGGGGAATAAAGTCCCGATACATCATGTGACAGCATAAGTTTGACATTCCTGGACTAGATGAACTTCAAGACCACTTCCAGACTTTACATTCTATGATTAAGTTAAACCAAAGGTTTTTTTTTTTTTTTTTTTTTACTAATGTTGCTATAGTTTGCAAACCAGTTTCCTTTCCTTTAGAAAGGAAGGGGAACCAGTACTTAGAAACCCTTTGCAGATACCCAAACACCATAATATGCAGGATGATGATGCAAAGTGAAGTGCCTAAGGCAACCTGTGAGCAAGGTCAGGATATTCTGCTTCCCACACACACACCATTTTGCTCTAAGTAGTGTGAGTAGGATTCTGAACGACTTCTTTGTTTTAACAATGTTAAAACTATTTTAGACGTTATCTACAATAGATTTTAAAAGTTACATGCCTCACAGTAATGACAAACTGCAGGTGCTGCAGGTTTCTGACAATTGTAGTGGGAGTAGAAGGCTCCCCAGGCCAAATGAGGTTCACATTGGCCACACACCTGTTGTATAAATAGCTATGGTTTTATTTAGCAACTGACTTTTTAAACTATGTATGAAAATGAAGTTGAATTATTTCTTTATAATGCAGTGCTAAACTGTGGCTATTTGAAGTTACGAGGGTGTTGAAAAAAGGGACTTACAACCGGTTCTTGAAATTCTGGCCATCGTAATACCCTCACATCAGATGAACAAAATTTGGGTCCACCTTCATTTAATCACCTCACCTACTACTGTGCCACTCCCAGCTGATCTTCCTTATAATTTTCACTGCCATCCTTTTCCACCATCCCAGTCACACATGGGGCCCCATGGAAATCTCATGCAGGGAGATGTGTGAGAGCTACAGGTGAGCAGGTGTGTATCACCTTACACATTATTGGCCACTACTGGCCAGATCTTTTTTGTATGTGTCCATTTTTTGTTTTTTTTGCAAAAGATTCGGCTGGCACATGAAAGAACCTTGGTGTGAAAATGGTGCACAGTGTAATGGGCATCAGATAGCAGGTAGGCCTGAACAATGTGGGGCACTGGCAGCAGTGGGTGACCAAAAGGACAGAGTTGTGGGATAGATATGTAGATGGAAGATGGACCTTACAAAGAATGGCTTGGATCCAGGTGTGTCCTTGCTAATGACTGCATATATTCACTCAATAACATTAACTGGGACTGCTGGAACTACCATTGGTAAATAAAGCAACCAAGTGACATTTTACTCAATGGCTGCTTTGTTTAGCAATAGATGGCCAGTCCCAATTAGGATTATTAAACGAGGACTGGCTGTACCTGCAGCCATACGCAAGAGTTATTATGAATGTGTTTTCCAACTATTAAGTTTTATAGTGGCGATTGTTTAAATCAATCAATCTTCATAGTGGTTCTGAACTATTGGCTTTTTTTTGCTTTTTTTTTAAAGTTTTTAAACTTTTTTTAAAGTTGGTCTGACATGCTAATGGTATTATGGCTAGGTTTGATAATTATACAATGTCATTGGATGTCAACTGGAACAAATGTATTCTAGCAATGTATTAACATGAACAAACCAGATAATATGATCTAGATGCTCAAGTAACCAGAGGGATGCTAGTAATTTTGGAATCCTTAAGAAAATTAATGGTTGAACACAAAACAACCATTCAATCATATTCATAATTTAAAAAGTAAAATGCAAGTTATAAAACTTATTATTTCTGAGTGTTAGAATTGAGAACTGGAATATCCATTTTCAAGAATGAATGCATTTAAAATTTTAAAATGATCTTAGTCCTTTTCAAAATAATTTTATGCAAATTGAAAAAAACTTACCCTCCTGATTATAAGGAATGGATCCAGGTATGAATTTGTTAATTATCTTTGAAAAATGTGTTCTATAAATGAGAAAATGAAACAATATGTTTCTGAATGGTCTACATTTAATGATAATTTTGAATTAATTTTATATTGCTATCCAGTTATTAGATGGATCTTTTCTCTCCCTTTTCTGATAAGTTTTTCCCTTTGTCATGTTTATCATCTTAATAGATCCATGTTTTCCCCCTTCCCTGTTTAAGCAGCATTTATCTTTTTTCCCCCTTTTGGCATACTTTTTGGAGTTCACTGTTAACACATATATCAAGATCTCGTCTGAATTGCAGATCTTAAATGACTAAACGTTTAACCTAATTTTTACACTTTGCTTCATCCATCTCCTTCCCCTTTTTTCATTGATGTAAGAATTTCAGACAGTTCAAAAACTTTAACATTTTTCTTCCTCTTTTTGATTGGCTATTGGACTACCATATGGGTCCGGGCTGGGGCAATGGCCCAGCCCAGAATCAACGAGGTATGCTTTTATCCATAAATTAATTCCTAATCACACTGAAAGACGCACAGATTCCTGCTTACATTATTAAAAGTTGTGTCGTTATTAAAAGCTCCCCACTCCCCCCCAAAAGGATGAGCTTCAACCATCATTGCGACACAATCGTCCTAACCCATCTTTTCTCAGAAATAACTTCAGGCAGACTTACTCCTTCCCACCTCTCTAATACAAATCCTAAGTGACATTTTGTACAGAAGAAGGTGATTCTATTCACGTGGCGGCTGTTATGCTGGGAGCAGCAGCCTCAGCCAGCGCAGGGAGCAACTGGGAGCGAGTTAAATCCGGATCTATCCGCGACTCCGTCCTTCGCCGGAGAATCATGGGAGGACTGACCCCCTCTCTCCTTCTTCTACTTGCACCATCCCGCCACTCCCTTGCCTCCTCATAAGCCTCTCTGTCCTGAAGCGTTTCCTGGAAAAGAACTCCGGGAGGCGGCGTTGCCAGACATACTCACGTTGTCCAAACCAGGGTTTCCGCGTCCGGGTCGGTGCTGCTGCTGTCGCTGCCACTGCAGCCCAGGCGATCGCGGGGTGGGCCTAGTGGCTCTCAAAACAGCGGCAGCGAGACGCGGCGGCCTCTTTGCCCGATCTGAATCGGAAGCCATGGCGCTCTGGTGTCGGCCTCGCTGTTGCTGTTGCTCATGCGCCGCTTCGTCCCGGACGGCGAGACTCTTGAGCAGCTTGCGAAGCTGCGGCTTGGACAGCAGTGGTGGCGGCGGTGGCACCAACAAACAGCCCGGCGATGAACTGGCGGCGCTGCCAGCATTGAAGACGGCCGTAAGTAACGCTGCACTGGGGGCGGTTGGAGGTCAGGAAGGGAATGAATGGGCGCAGCGATCGCTGGTCCCGGTGGAGGAGCCGATCCCGGGGAAAGCTCGAGGCGCTCGGGTGAAGGAACCGGGTTACACCAGGACGCGGGCGGAGCGTGGGGGAAGCGCCTTTGGGAACCTCCAGAAGCAGCCCGGCGCTTGAAAAGCTTCTGCTAAGAAGAGCCACCAAGGCGATGTTTACTAGCCCCGATGCCCTGAGATATGGGGCCATTGTAATGCCCCAGGACCCCTTATCGCTTGTGGGGATGGGGTATTCTTAAGAAATGGCATGGGCAGGAAGAGAAAACGAGGAGCGGAAAGGGAAGCGTTTTCCAAGCCTGGCGCGACGAGTAAGGAAGTTAATTACCCAAGCCCCCTTCAGGGGAGTTGTGGGTGCAGTTGATGTCGCCTGGGCCATTTGGAGGGCACCGGATGGCAAATAAGTGACTAAGATTTGCGGAAAAGCAAAGGAAGAGAGGTTGCAGATCTCATAAGCACAGGCCACGGAAAATAAAATAACTATTTCCTGCTGCACAATCCTGTTACAAAGCGTAGACTGCACTAAGATGTGTTGATGTGGTTTACTTGTCTTGGAGGTGTCTCTTAAAAGGCTTACACGGTGGAAATATTAAATGATCTGTCAGTGGGCATTATTCTCAATGGGCTATGTTGGCTGGTAAATTGTACACATGAATATTGGATATGTTTGTCACCTTGAGTTGGCCAAAGTATACAAAAGTGGGATAAAAAATATTATTATTGTTCCAACACATACCTAAGTTTAAGAAAACTTGCTGTCTTTTCACCCAGATTCATCAATTCACAAGTTACTGGCCTGTACAAGATGTCAGAGATGAAATAGGCTTTTTATTACTTTGCTCAGCCCATTGGTATTTCATTTTAGATATCTTTCACAATACTTGTTAAAACAATTTCTTCAGGAAAAAGTAGGATTACTCATGAGTTGAGTAATCAACAAAAAAAAAAGAAATTAAAAGAAAAGAAGAAACTTAAGCTAGTAAGATTCTTTACAAGGTTTTCCAAATGAAATAAATTCATTATAATTCGCTTCTTTATCTTCTACTGTTGCTAAAACCCATTGAAACAAATCCAGGGAACTTTCCTCCACAATTATGTGTTATGTGAGCCACTTGTATACTACTTAACATCTCTGCAGAAAAATGGTTATAAGGAGAAATATCTGTGGAGTGTTGAGTTGTTTGCTTGCCTATGCATACAAGCTGTTCAATAAAATCCATTGACCCCTTAATCCAAATGGGTCTAATTTAGGTCTCTATTCTTGTTCAGTCAACTAGCCTCATTCTCTTGTTTCCTTTCCATATGCTTGCAATGAAAAATGCCTTGCCATAAAGACAACATAAAGATTTGTTCCCGCTCCTGCTACTTTTTTGCCTTCCCAACTGTGGCACCTACCCACAACATCCATCCACTCATCCATAACTCTTACCCACCAGCTTGCTTTCCTGGGACTTCATATCATGTTCATTTGAAGTCTTCACTTAACCAATGTGGGTTATGATGGCAACTGGAACTTCCAATCTTACTGTCGCTACTGTCGATATTTAGTCATGTCATGTTATACCTTACAGTTACATCATTTAGCAACAGAAATTCTGATTCCAATTGCTATTGTCACCCATAGTAACTTTTGTTAACTTTATCTTAATTCTGCATAAAATATAGATTATAAATATCCTTTTTTTCTCTTCTCTTTCAGCAGAAATCTAGTTTTTTAGGGGAAAGACTGTGTCTATTTTTTCCAAAAATGTATAGTATATGTTGGCGGTAAGTGGAAATATTTCTATTATAAAAAATAGTCATATTAAAGTAGGTAACTTCAGTATCTTTTAAAGTTTGTGAAGGATGCGGTGTTAAATGAGATATTAAATTGCATGCATTATAACATTTAGTCTTGTGACGGTTACATTCAGTATAAATCATTAAATCGATATATAAGAATTTTTGAGAATCATCATATAAGCATGTTTCTTAATACAGCAACTGAAGCAATCAAAGCAAATATTCTCATCTATTATATTTCAAATTAAATAAAAATTAAAGCAGCCAGAATCACATAGGAAATTGTATGAAATGTGATCTTTTGCCTAAAATTTTGCAAAATAGATAAAATCTTATGAAACTTGGTGAGCACTTGCAATTTTAGCTATTGTGTATATGATTTAAACTTATATATATGATATACACTTATATGTATACATAGTATAAGGTACTTCATGGTGATTTATTGATATTAGTATACATCACCAAACATCAGAAATTAATTTAGTGGGAACAGTGACAATAATTTCATATCTTATATAACATGTATGGTAACTTGGTCCTGGGTTTTTTCTTCTCCTGTTTTAGAAGAAGGAAAATAACTGCAGAATGAAATGCTTGGAGGATTTTTAAAATTTGTTTAATTCAATACAAAATGACAGCTTTTGCTTTATTCCCCATATGCATGCTCACACAAAGGTATAACATTTATTTTATTTATGTATCAGATTTAGAAACCATCTATGTCTCTCAAAGAGATAATAACATAGTACATTTGAAAAAAATGCTTACACTATTTTTCCTGTTTTTATAACTTTTATAGATCCTAAATATTTAGTCTTTTTCTATAATATAGCTGATGCAAGATAGGAGTATGAGAAACTAATAATTTTGCTGGATGGGTCTCTATCCTAACCATGGTTAAAACTTGGGCAAAGACAGAGATCCATTTTGGATAGTAGAATTGCAAAATAATTGCTTCTGAAGGTATCTTAGCCGCTTAATGCAAACACAAGATCCACCCAAGTTCTCCAAACAATGATTTTAGAAAATCTATGTCATTCTTCCAAGTATTGACTGAATAATGTTTTTTTAACTTTGTAGATAAGCTTGAATAACTATTTCTTTTTATGTATTTTCTTTTAAAATTCAATTAGAATAGCATAGCATAGCATAGAATTCCTTATTCGCCAAGTGTGATTAGACACACAAGGAATTTGTTTTGGTGCATGTGCTGCCAGTGTATATTTGTCAAGAATCATAAGGTACAACACTTAGTGATAGTCATAAGGTACAAGTAAGCAATCAAATCATACTAGGAGACAATCAATATTAATCGTAAAAATGCAAGCAACAAAGTTACAGTCATACAGTCATAAGTGGGAGTAGATGGGTGATAGGAACAATTAGAAGTTTAATAGTAATAGTAATGCAGATTTAGTAAATAGTTTGACAGTGTTGAGGGAATTATTTGTTTAGCTGAGTGGTGGTGTTCGGGGCAAAACTGTCCTTGTGTCTAGTTGTTCTGGTGTGCAGTGCTCTATAGCGTCGTTTTGAGGGTAGGAGTTGAAACAATTTATGCCCAGGTAGTAGTAACAGTAGAGTTATTTTTGTGGGCAGGAATGACCAAATTGCCTTAGTTACAGGGATTATGTTAATATTTTCTTTCTTCCCCAAAAAGTTTTGCTAGATTTCAACATACAACAGTGCAAACTCATTGCTTTGGTAAAACGGTCAGCGATGAACAATACAAAGATCCTTTTAAACTTGGAGGAAAAGACTTGAAAAATTTCTATGAGGATATTAAAAAGGTAAATATGTTTTTGGTGTGGTACGGTAAGAAGCTCTAATTATAGATCATTCTTGAGATGGGACTTTATTGTCATAAAGCAAGTCTAGGTTTGCAGATATAGAACAGGCTTTGTTCGCCTTTTTGCAGGAATTACGGGTTTCTACTACAGAACTTAAAGAAATGTGTGACTACTACTTTGATGGTAAAGGGAAGGCCTTTCGACCAATTATTGTGGCACTAATGGCCAGAGCATGCAATTTTCATCATAATAATTCTGGGTAAATATCTATTTTTTATTTTTGAATTATTACAGTTAAGGTTTGTTCCCATACAAAAGCGAATAGCAGCAAGAAGATTTAGCAGATATTCAGCCTTCTTGTATTTAATGGATATGTCTTATTTAGAATAAGAGAAACTAATTTCTTACTATGTGCATTCCCTGTACTACTGTGCCCTGACTTACAGTATTAATTCTATGCTTCCTCTTCTACATTAAATATGAAATATTAATTTCATTATAAACATTAACTGAACTCCAAATATTAATCATGAATACCATTTCATTATTAGTAGGGCAACCGATAGAAGATTAGCAAGCTGAAACATGCATATTTGCCATGGAATGTGATGAACAAGTGGATAATTAATTTAAAAACTGTTTATGTGAGACAAGGTTGATGAAAGTAGAAGAATAGAAATCAGTCGATACGACCAATGGATAGGTTCAAAGAAAAACCATGTATTATTGCAGAAGATAAGTGAATATGGCAAGAATTTGCATGGTCTCCAAAAATTTTGAATCTGACTTGATATCACCTGTATTGTTCAAGCTATTCTGACAGGGTTGACATGCTACATTTTTCTTACCCTCTTCCCACGTCTCAATCTTAGAGAAGTGAAGGCAAACCAACGCTCCATAGCATTAATTGCAGAAATGATCCATACCGCTACGCTAGTTCATGATGATGTAATTGATGATGCTAATTCACGAAGAGGAAAGGTTACTGTTAATCAAATCTGGGGGGAAAGGAAGGCAAGTATTTTTATCTTAGCTATAGAAAGTGTTGTTAGAGTGGGAAGGTTACTTGATCAATTTATCTCCTACTTTAATCTGCATGACACAAAATGGAGCAATACAGTACAGGAAAATACATGTCCAAGGGAGAGCCCAGAGAAAAATCAACAATCAGTGTAACACCTAAAGTATCCCAGAAGGATTGTTGATCTGGGGTGGTGAAGGGGTTCACCACCTTCTCTAACCAGGGGCTTGGAAAAGGGCAAGATCACAGTGGAGCAGGTTAGGTAAGGAAAGTGAAATAATTGAAAGTAGATATTAATTTTTGTTCTTTAAGACAACTCTAGTTCTTGCTGGATGCTCAACTGATGCAATTAAACTTTGTATATGCAGTTGAAATTTCCACAAATATAAGGGCATTCAGTTTTGTTACCTATTTGCAGATAATAGCCGTTGATATGATAATTTTATATAAAGAAACTTGCTCTTGGCAGAAGATAAAGGGTGGAGCCTCAACCCTGTTCTTGAATTTCCCAAGAGAGAGGGACTAGGTGAAGTCTCTAATGGGTATAAAGCAGTGTTTCTCAGCCTTATCAACTTTAAGGTGTATAGGCTTCAACTCTCAAAATTCCTTTCCAATATCTCATTGTCTTATCACTCTGGCTTACAGTTTATGGAAAAAAAAATATTTTATATAAGTTAAGAAAAAATATAAAATGTGTACTGCCCTTTGTAATTGCATTTCTGATGTTGCTTTCCAGATTTTTTTTGTTGGCAAGTTCCCTGACTACTGTCCAAGATTTTTTTAAAAATGGTATGCAAAGCTGTAAATTGAATAATGGTGCCAGCTAAAATATTTTAAAGTCAATTATTCTTTTCCAGGCAGTCTTAGCTGGTGATTTTATCCTTTCTACAGCATCTTTAGTTTTAGCACGTATTGGCAACACAACTGTCCTTTCTCTAATAACGCAAGTGATTGAAGATCTGGTGCGTGGTAAGGCTTTTTAGCAACATAACTAGAAATAACTGAATTTCTATTTCCTTGGCAATTAGTTGCTAACACAGTTGATCTTTTTTACCTCTTACAGGTGAATTTCTCCAGCTGGGTTCCAAAGAAAACGAAAATGAGAGATTTTCTCACTACCTCGAAAAAACTTTTAAGAAGACTGCAAGTCTTATAGCACACAGCTGTAAAGCAGTATGTACGTTCCATCTTTTCTGTAAATTTATCTTAATGTATGGAGGAAAGACAGATTAGAAGACTGAACCATTTTTTCAACAAGCTTATGAATATAACGGGCTTTGACAAAATGGCTGCAGTGGTATCTTTGGTTCATTTTCCAGACAGAAAAATAAAAGAGAAACCTAATGAAGCTTAATTAATTAAGAAGCTTAATTCAAAACACAACACAGTTATGGTGAATTTAGTTTTCTGCTTCATCAGTTTCAGAGAAGGCTTATGGAAATAACTTCACTGAGCAAATAATGGTTTTACAGTTGTTGTGCTATCAAGGTGTTACTTAGGACTTCAGTAAGTGGAGTTCTTTGAAGTTTCTTTCAATCACCTTGTGGTGCATTATTTCAGGTGATTCCAAGAAGACAGCAAAAATACTAAACAGATATTTCCAGCCTTTTTTGAATGTTCATGGAATCTCATGAGATGTTAGAGTTCCCACCTGAATTTTTACCGTAGAGTGGATGAGAAAATCAATATCTTATGAGTTCTGGTGATTTCTTGAAATTTTGGCCATTTAAAAAATATATTATGGCAACCAAACCAAATGCCACACACAGCACCTTAAAACATTACAGATTACATTAAACCTTGCCTGGAATTTGAGACCATAGATGGGCAAAACTAATGGATGGAGGTCACTCCTGTCCTGTTGATTCCTAATCTAGAATTAGATGTATGCCCTGTTCCAGATGAAAAATCAATATTAGATGAGTGTAGAACTTAGACTGTAGATTCTTAGACCATTAGTATGCTTGGAGAGTGAGGTCCTGGTAGAAGGCAGTTTTTTTCTTGAATGCTTGGGAAGGACCTGGCCAGAGGGATTCACATCTTAGTGAATTCTGGATAGGGTTTATTGAAACCCTTGGAAAATAGAGCAAATGCAAATATTTTTCAGAAGTGTATTTCATAGAGTGGATCGCAACAATTTTGTAATAATTTAGAAGCTTCTACTTATTTACAAGCATAGTATAAAAGTGCTGGTTTAAAGCCAAAAGATTTGGCACCCTAAATACATAATGCCCAGTGTCTGTCATATTAAATTTTCTATAATATACAATCCTCTTCAGACATTAGACTAATAGGTACAGTGGAACCTCTGGTCATGACCAAATCGGGTTTCGACCAAAAAATTCAGAAAATTTTTGAATCTGGTCACGAACATATACTCGGGTGGCGATCAAACACTCCCTCAAGAGCTCCAGTCCCCACACACATTTAAGTGAAAAGACATGCACAGGAATCAAGAGGCTTTCTCTCTCTCTTCTCCCACGCTCTTAAATCAGTTGCCTTGAAAAGAAAACTGGTGCGTGTTCCTCCGTTTTTCGTAAGCCCTCACTACTAGTAATAAGCTCTCTGTGCAGAAGAGGAGGAAGATCCTCAGAATCCTGCCATGTGCCAAAATTGCAGTTTCTGAGGAATGGAAAAGTGCTGCTTCTGTGAGTGGGGGGGGGGGGTAAGCTTACCTGGTGCACAAGCCTGGCTAGGGAGAGCGCTGCCTACGCCCCTCAAGCACAGCCGCCTTAAGATGGGAAGCACGTTAAGCTGGCAGGAGGTGGGAAAGGTCTTGCGGGTGCCTTCCTGGCCAAGCTCCACAGCTGAGGGACAATGGAGCAAACTGCCTGAGCTGATAGCATGACTTTCGCCTGTCTCTATTTCATGGGAGGCTTGTGGGAAGCTTGTGCGGTGGCACATAGCAGAAAAGAGATGGGCAAAAGTAATTCTGCGCTGACACAGAGGCTTGGGAAAGGCAGAAGCGATCGGAAGATGCCACCCACTCGTCCCACTGTATCTCAACTTGCCTGCTTTCCAGCTCTGTTCTCCACTGCGTGTGCAGGGCAAAAAAAGTAGGTTTTCTCAGTATTATTAAAGGATTTTACATTTCACTATTACAGTACACTGTGAATTCTATGGCATAATTAACCATTTTTGTGCTCAAAAATCTTTAAAAAGCAATATGTATATTCAGTTCGTAGGGGTCTGGTATGGATTAATCGTATTTACATACAATCTAATGGTAAAATTAGGTTCAGATCACGACCAATTCAGATTGCAACCAAAGTTATGGAACAAATTATGGTCATGACCAGGGTTTCCACTCTATTTAAAATAATTATTTATAGGAATAGTACTTTTGATTAAATACATCTTGCTCTGCTTTCTGGGGTAAGTAAAGAAAGGGTTATACAACTGACTTTCTAATACTGCATAGGTTTTTGGCACATTGGTTATTTTCTGATTATACATCAATTTAGCTGTCTGATAGGTAAAGAATACTATTAGTAAAGTTAATTAAAATGGTATTTAATTATGAGTCGACATTATAGTGCTTTTGTTTATATTACAATGAAATTTGATGACTGTAAAATTAAACCATTTTGCAATCATAATCTATGTGTTAAGACTGTTTGCAGTTATGAATGCAACTATATTAATATTTAAGTCAATCCATTTTGGATATAAAGGTATCTATGTCTCTCTATCTCTCTGCCTATCTATGTATGTAACCATCATCTGTCTGTCTGTCTGTGTGTCTGTCTATCTATCTATCTATCTATCTATCTCTACTCCCAACTCTCTCCAGACCTTTGCAAGACCCTGTTTTTAATGCTGTCCTGTTGCTCTTCGTCTTTACCATAACTTATTTTTTTAAAAACTCTGCATATATAAAAAGGGACTGAGCAGAATGCAGCTATTTGATGTCTGCTTCTCTGGTGTCAGTACATTGTTGGCACATATGAATAATGGGAAGTAACCAAAGATTATGTTCTTTTTGTTCCTTTTCAGGTTTCTGTACTCAGCTGTCCTGATCCAAAAGTTCATGAAATTGCATATCTATATGGAAAAAACCTTGGGATAGCATTTCAGGTAATACATAAGAATGATGACTTAAAAGACGCAGAGTTTTTTTTACCAATTAAACAAAATGCTAAAGAGGGAGGTTTGGAGCATTTATATATATATGTTTTACTTAGGTCTTGCAAGGAAATCTTATAAACTTTATATGGTATATTCTTTGTTTACTGTAGCTGGTAGATGATGTGCTGGATTTCACATCGTGTTCCGAACAGCTAGGAAAGCCTGCATCAGCGGACCTTAAACTTGGAATAGCCACTGGACCCGTCTTATTTGCTTGCCAGCAGGTATGAATACCAGAGACTGTATTTTCTTCCCAAGATACTAGACGTCTAGTTGTGTTTTATTCATTCTTAAAAATTAAAAGTATTGTTGTGTATGCATTCTTTGAAGGAAAGAAAGGAAGATGCTTACAGAAAGGAAAGGTAGCCACCACAGATGCTTTTCAAATCAGAAGCAATAACTATTAAAAATACTAACTCTTAATTGGTTTATTGTTATCCTACCTCAAATTAGCACCACAAGGCACGGTTAAGTTTATCGACTGGATCATTAAAAGTTAATGGTAGAAACCTATCTGGGTTTGAGTATTCCAAAGTTTTACATAGTTGGAAGTTGCATTTAACCTTCATATTGGCGGTAGAGGTTCAGTTCAGCTGTATCCAATTCTTGAAGGCTACCTTCACAGATCCCGAAAATTTTTCTACCAGCATTTTTCAGAAGTGGTTTGTCATTGGCCTCCTTTCTAGGGCTGAGACAGAGTGAGTGAATCCCAAGGCAGGATTAGAACTCCTGGGCTTCCCATTTCTAGTCTTCTACTTTAATCACTACATCAAACTGGTTCTCAGTTTGTGGTTTATCCATGCTTTTTTAAAATAAACTTCATTGGCTTGTTGTATATAACACACTAGCAGTGCAATGTCTCGGTGGTTAAAAACTTGGAAAGCTGAGAGCCCAGATTTGAAATCTGAGCAATGCACAGTGGAGTGAGTTCCTATTACTAGCTTCATCTAGCAGTTTGAAAGCATGCAAATAGATAAATAGATATCATTTCAGTGGGACAGTAACAGCGTTCCATGCATCTCGGCATATAATCATGCTGCCGTATGATATAGAAATGTCTTTGGAAAATTCTGACTTCCCTGGCTAAGAAACAGAGATAAGCAATGCTCCCTAGAGTCAGTTATGATTGGAAAGGGGAATCTTTTACTTTTATAAAACACACTAAGCCAAAATCAGTCAAACCGTAGATGTGAAGTCAATTTGATTTGTCCTTGTTTTGCTAAATCATTTATTCAATTTATTGCAACACATATGAAAATTCATAAACTAATATAAAAGTGATGGCTATGTCCTTTCAGTTATGCTTAATATCTGATTGAATTCAAGGGATTGCAAATTTTTGAATACAGTAAATTTTTTATTGTAATTAGTAGGGAAGGATCTTAAAGCTTATAAGTCCTGCCAAATTACACTGTGCAAGAAAGAAAGAAAGCTCTTATCCAACATTTGGGCCAATTTGTCACACGTACACGTACACACAAACTCATAAAATCCAGCACTGTATTTGTTTTTTTTCTAATGACAATTTCTTTCCTACATATATTATGATCCACTTTGGGTCCTTGAAATGAATTAAAGTGAAACGGACATTTTCAGATCATCAACTCAGTTTCACTTGGTTTGACAGCAAATTATGAACACTGTCAGATAGCACAATTTCTTAACCAGCCTGCAGTTGAGAGTCTCCAGTATGCTGACGGGCTATTCAGCGAGAAAAAACTTCTGAGAAAAAAAACATCCCACGAGCTACAAAAGATTCTTATGCAACTGTGCCTGGATTTAGATTGTGTCAATAGGCAAAGAATTGCCTAGGATGAGACAATAATACTTTTCTCTGTTCTAGTTCCCAGAAATTAATGCCATGATAATGAGGCGATTCACTTACCCAGGTGATGTCCAACGTGCCCAGGAATTTGTACTACAGGTAAGATAAAACCTTTATTAAAAATAGTGGTTGTTCCTAAAGAAAATTTGGTATACTCTTATGATTTCACTCTTCCTTGCAGACCAAACATCAATTGATACAATGCTGATTGAAGTACTCACTTAACAACCACAGTTGGGACCTGCAACACTTGCTAAACGAGACATCACATGACCACGATGCTTACAATGTCACTTCCACTGTGGTCATTAAGCGAGACATCACGTGGCATGACTTGCAGTTTTACTATCAGCTTCTCTTTTTTATTCTTCTTACTGAAAATGCAAGGACTGATTGTGATTATTTTTTCAGTATTGTCGTAACTTCAAAAAATAACTAAATAGGGTATTTGTTAAGCAAGGACTACCTCTTTATGTTTTTAGTTCAGTTAGGAAAAATCCATCATGTTGGCATTGACAGTCTGTGTTTTTCGATTCTGTAAGATTCAAGTTACAGAATCTATAGTAAATCCATGTCCATGCTACAGCAATTATTACATATTACCACAGATTAAACAATGTATAAAACAGAGCCAGTGTGGTGTAGTAATTAAGGACTGGACTAGAAAATAGGAGGGCCAAATTCAAACCCATCTTTAGCCATGAAAATTCAAAGGATAACTTTGGGCCAAGTATTTTACCCCAGCCTTCAAAGGATTGTTGTATGCAGGGGTGTCAAATAGGCAGCCCGCAGACCGAATGCATTACATGCAGGCCACGCCCACCCCCGCTTTGGGGAGAAAAAATCATGATACATCACGTGATGGCAATGTGACAACATGAATTTGATACCCGTGTTGTATGGAATAAAGGGAAGGGAGATATCTACCTCTCCCATATAAGCTGCCTTTAGCTCCTGCAAGGATATACATCTAGCACAATGTTTTTCAAACCTGGCAACTTTAAGATGCGTGGACTTCATCTCCCAGAATTCCTCAGCCACCAAATTGGCTGAAGAATTCTAGGAATTGAAGTCCACACATCTTAAAGTTGCCAAGTTAAAAAAAACAACACTGATCTAACAGATGATAATACTGAAAGTGGATTAAGTAAATATTGTCTTGGTAATTCATGCAAGCTTCTCTCAGCAGACTGCCAATTTAGCCAGTTGGTTATATTGGATGTTGTTTAAGATTCAAGGAACATTTTCCTAAATCATGGCATCCATGGTGGTATAAAACACAATGGAGATAGGGAACTTTTCAAAATAGCTTAAGTCTATGTTTAAGTTGTATGCATCTTTAAAATGCAATTCTAAAAAAGAGTCAACTAAACTCTCACAAAACCAATTGCAGAATGGGGAAGCAGCAGCTTTGTATGGTTCACTAACTCCTCCTTTAATATTTTGGTCTTTTCTTAGAGTGGTGGCATACAGCAAACAAACTACCTCGCACAGCGCTATTGTCATGAGGCAGTGAAGGAAATTAGCAAGCTCCGACCATCCCCGGAAAGAGATGCCCTTATGCAGCTGGCGGAGATTGTCTTGTCTCGAGACAAATAATCATCTTCTTCCTGGTGATTCTGGCAGCTATTTTACCAGACTGTGCCTAAACTGTTTCAGAACATCTTGGCTTGCTTCTGGTGGAGTTCCCATTTTTTTAAAAAAAGTTTTCCTAGTTAAGTAACTAGGCTTATGAAATGCTTTTATTGAAGAAAGCCTTATGCATCAGTGAAACACAATCAGTCTGTTAAATTGGTAGCAACACGTGGTATCTATGCTTTTAATGAAGAAGTTTCTTGTTTTATCTGGGAATTTGTTTACACTGTTCACTATATTGACGCTGAAGGCCACAAACAATAAAATACAATCAGTGTATTAAATTATTTCTGCAGTTCCTCATGTGTGCTGGGAGTATAACCAACTCCTCGAATAATTAAATTGCCTGTTAGAATTTCAAAGTACCCAGAAAATTAAAGAATGGTTTATTATAAAAGACTGTACATACTTGTTATAATTAAAACAGGTTATATACAAATCAAGAAGTGTTCCAATTTATAAAGGGAATACAAATATGTTTCATGAGTTGCTGTTTGATGTCAGAAATAACATGTTAACAATCAGGAAAAGGCAAATAAAGCAATTAGGTTCATTTAAGGAACAATAAGGCAAGGGATTCTTCAGTATTGAATGTTGATAGATAATATTATTGTTCTTGTATTTAATACACTTGCTTTTTTCATCATTTAATGCCCATTAGGGCAGTGATTAAGCCCAAATAAATCTTTACTACACAAAGCAACAAATCCCTTTGTAATTTAATTTGTGTACTATCCAAAACCAGAAATGTGACCTGACCTTGTGCTCAAACTGGAGATGTTCTACTGCATGCTTAAAGCCAAACAGGTTGCATGACAATCTATGTCTTTTTCAGTATAAGCTGTTCTTGCTCTTTTAGTGGAATGCCTGACTAGAAACAGCATTGCTATGGAAATATATCCCTGTGAAGCCCATAAGAGCTGTATTCCTAGATAGGTGCTGCTTAAATATAGTGATGTCGGGGGGGGGGGGGGGGGGGAACCAGTAGACAATCCCCCAGGAATGAAAATTTACTTTCAGCAGAGCAAGAGACTTCATAGTTTTAAACAGAACAGTCACTTGGGATTGTTTGTTTGCCCATCTTCTGCACGTTCATCTATTTTTGCAATGTGTCATTAAAGCTCCTCTTCTCAAGGCAGTTCTACAGCAAAAGACTGCTTGGAAAAGTACCATTGCAGCTAAAATTAAAAAGTGATTGAATATTTAATTCACCTATAAACTTCACCATCCCTGGCCATACTCTGGTAGCTAAGAGAAACAGATTTCTGTTCTAAAACTGCTCCCAGATCATTGAAACCTGGTAAGTCACCTAAAAAGAAAACTAGTGGGCATTTTAGCAAGCTGGAACAACTTTGTTTTATACTTCCTCCCATCAGCCTTTTATTGATGTGCTTTCTGCTTCCAATAATAACTATTCAAAAATCATGGGTTGCAGTCTCCATATCCCTTTACTAACGAATAAGCCAAATAATGTGGAATCTGAATATATGATAACCTGCAGAAGTGTACTTTTCCCTTTATTGGGGTGTTAAGATTTTGGACCTGCAATTAAAAATGACCCTGTTGATAAGGGGGAAATTTTGGTAAGTCAACATGCTTCAATATTGCTTTGCAAAGCAAGGCAAGCCAACAAAAGTAATGGACAAGACCTTTGGTTCATTTATGTATTTATGAATGGAAAAGTCAATGCAATTTTACTCATTAAAAACTCAGGTACAAATTACACACACATCATAAGACCACCCATCTTTGATTCACATGGACATATTCGATAAGAGACTCAAAGGACTCACTGGAATAGACTCTTAGTGAAAGTACTCCAGTAAAAGATTACAACAAATTGGAAGCATCTTGGATTTTCAGAAAAAAAGTGTAATTCAATACATAAGTTTTTATGCATGCTTTTAAACAAATACTATATTTTGAGGATGAGCAATAGTCTAAATAAAGGTAAATGACCAGCATTATTAAACTTTTCAACCAGATTTAAAATTAGTCTTAACAGTTGTTAGTTTATCACGCTGTTGCACTGAGAAAAGAAAACAATGGCACGATTTGAATCTTGAGTCATTAAATAGTTTATACCCTACTTCCCCAGAATATTTAGGCTGGTCATAGAAAACAACGCATAGGTAAATAAGCATAATCAGTAATAAACAGTTCAGTTATTTGCAGAACAGAATAGCTTTTTCTTGGAATGTTCTGTTTCTCCCTCTAATCATTCTGTGGGCCAATCATTCTGTAGGCCAATCATTCTGTGGTTGTATGTTTCTTCCAGAACGTGAACTGTTTTGTAAAACTCTTGTTTTAGAAGCAAAAGATGTCTTGAACACCGTGACTCTCTTCTTGATCCCCTCCAAAAAAGATTTCTGGAAACACAAACCTCACCCAGAATATTCCATAGGCCATTCTGGGGAAAATACCGAACTTCTGAGAACAAACCATTCCATTCTGCATACCCCTAAAACATTTGTTCATTTTACAAATTCCAGAAACAGATGCTTACAGATGAACATTCAATCATGCCATTTAACAGTATGGCCTGGAAAGGATGTGCACATTTTAAGGAGCATTAAGACAAGTGTTAATTTACCCTTTGTAGATCATTATGGCATGACTGAAGGCAAAGCCTGGCCTGAAAAAAGAGTTAATCTGCATAGTGCATGATTGATTCAACATAATTTCCAGGAAACAGGCCAGTCACTCTGTTGCATACACCTTCATACCAACCATCATCATTCTTCTTTATCACATAAATGATTGCACCCTCCATGAATGATAGCTCATCATCCTTGTCCTTTGAGTAGTCATATATGGCAACAACTAGAAAAATGGAAAGAGAGGTACCATTGAATTTTGTCACAAGTTATTCTAAAATCATTTCTAGAGTTTTCATGTCAATTCAGATTTTTTTGTTTTAGATTTTTGTCTCTCTCTGTCCCTCCCTCCCTCCCAATGCTCTTTTTTTCCTTCTGTTTCCTCCATAAAAACAACTGTGAAGAGAGTTGCGCTGAAAAAGGGACTGACCCAAAATCACCCAGCTGGATAGGACTAGAACTCTCCACAGTTTCGTAGTTTCTAGGAAATAGTCCTTAACCATATATGTATTTTATCTTGCAGGAACAAGTTAAGTGGGTGTGAGAGTTACAGTCAGTACCAGACTGACTGACCAATTGAAATGACTATTTCTGCATTCTAGTAATAAAGTATACACTGCAGGCACGGTATCCCAAATCTAATCCTTAACGTTTCAAATAAAATGACCCTCAAGAGTTGGCTGGATCAAATACCCAAGGCCTCATGGTAATTTCTGTATTCTGGATATTCCATACAGAACTAGATAAACTAAGGGTGAAAGGAAGCTTCATCCTTCCTCAAATTTATCCCTGTATTAGAAAAATAAAGCCCAATTACCACCACCCACAAAATATGGCATACTACTAATTCAATTTTAATTGTTGTTACAGACATACAATCCTTCAAATGCTGGGACGTTACTTTATTCACCTCCAACCACAAATGCTGTTGTGTTAAAATTACCCATAGCCCAGAAATGTGAATCAGCAGTGTATGTTTTACTTGAAAAAAATAAATATTTGTTACAAGTAGAGAGCAGATGTATTGCTTCCATTACATACCAATTCAGAAGTAGGATACCTTAACTTATATATATCTATATATTATATATTATTATTATTTTACTAGATATAAAATGAAGTGGCAAAAACAAGGTCATTTTTAATCTGAGGACTGACAAATTTACAGATGCAAAGTATGCTGAGAATAGTTGAGCTAACTAAACAAAGCTATACATTTTTAAAAAACATGATTTAACCAGTCACAAAATCTGGATTCATACATATGCTAAAAATAAGCCTTCCCAAACTGGCACACTCTCTAAGTATTGGGGCTTCAACTCCCAGACTCATCCAGGCAGAGGAATTTTGAGAATTGTTATTCCAACACATGCAAAGGACACCATATTGGGAAGGCTGTGCTGAACTGAAAAGAAAACATTTTATGAGTTTAATACAAAGTATACAGCAACTAGCAATAGAGGAATATATCAACTATAAATGATATTCCAATTTGTGGATACATTCCTATCTTAACACCACTTCTGCTAGGGAAAAAGAGTGTTCAGATCCCAAGGGTAGAGACAGGTTAATCATAGGGAAAACTTTATTCAGCTGGTTACACAACTGGTGGAAATAAAGCTGAAAATCAAAGTTAGAATTCAATACAGGTTTATATTTCTAATACTTACATTTGATTTTGAACTTATGAAATTACAGGGTTTCTATCAATATTACTCAGCATATGCAATCTAACAACAACTGGAAGGCCATAGACTGTTTACTTAGTATAATGTTTCAATACAACCAAGATCTTAATGTAACCTTTAGAAACAATTCCTTAGATCTAGTTAGCATTAATTTCCTGATCTGCAAAATTTTGGGAGGGAGGAGTATTGCAACTCTGAAAAAAGGGAATTTATGTCAAGTCGTCCAGTTGGTGGTATCATCTGAATGGGGTACATGTGGCTTAAATCTGCCTAAGGAATCTGGAAAGAAATGTTTAGCACAAATATATTCATCCTTTACCTTTCTCAATATAAGTTTTAGGTGCCCATGCTGGATCACCATCAGCATAAGGATCATTGTACTGCACTACTGCAGCCTCCTCATCTTCATAATCCACTGGTGGTGGAGGTGGAGGTGGTGGAGAGTCATCAAACAAAGGCATCTCATCTGGAGGTGGTGGTGGAGGTGGAGTTGGACTGTCAGCAACTGGTGAATCAGTGAAAGAAGAATATTTGGTCAGATTTAGTTCAAATAGAAGTAAACCCATGATCAGAAGTCCATACCTATTACAGAAACTAGTCACATGCACTAACAGTATCATGCATAGATTAGAGGTGAATGCTTTATATGTTAAAATGCTATGACATAACAATTTTGCAAGTTACTGGCAGCCACAGAACTATAGATGCTAACTTCAAAGCAGATACTCCAGAGGCATAAGCTGATTACTAGCAGAAGTGAGATGTAGACCATCACTTTAATGATTCTCAAGGCATCATTGCTTCATGTTCAAGAGGCCGGTGTAGCTGTTGCTGAATGCTGTAAGCCAAATGTCTTATTTTGTCAGTTTATATTTGCCTTAGAATAAGTGAACAAATGTCCAGGTGCAGAGGCACTGCAAAGAACATCACTTCTAATGCAAGCAAAGTCTCCTTTTGATACTGATGAGAGGAAAGGCCTATTTTTAATCTGTATCACAAACATTCCTAAATTGCAAGGACAGAAAAATCTGCCTCGTGCTCCTAAGCACTATCCACAGAATTTCATCAGCCCTTATTATCTAAATCCCTAACATATCCTCATTTGCAGCATCTCAGTAACATCCTAACATGCAGTAGGTGATAAGGCATATTCAAAAAAGGTTACTTAACTAAAATCTCATTCATTAACTGTCCCAAACACAAATCCTGTAATTTAGGACATACAGTGATAAATCCCAGAGTAGAAAAACAATTGCTATAACTTTTACTTAAAAGAGCATCATTCAGCAATAGTAAAGCATTTTAAATACCATTCAACAGATACAAATGGTATCTGTATTTATCATTAGCACAAAAAACCTTCAATGTAACTAGAAAAATGCATCATTTTGCCTGAAGTATGTCCAAATAATCAATGATACTGGGGCACACCTTTCAAAATATTTAAGGTCCCCATATTTGCTGATTATCAGCTTCATAATTTAAATGTAAATGAAGGAGAAAAATATTGAAGAAACAGATTTCACATCCATTCAGTGATAAACCATGTGCATATTTTTAAATTTTTCCTATGTTGTCCTTAATCTTTTAAAACAAATATGTAAATATGGGGTCATGACTGAATGGACATGAAATCTGTTCCTTGACTTGATGGGTTTAGCCTAAAAGGCATAAACTTTGGC